TCGATTTCCGTTCTTGACTAATGCCGCAAACAGGGCACGTCCTGTCGCGAGGAATACTTTTTCTGGAGGAGGGGAGGGGGGAGGGTAAAATCTGCGGAGTCTCCCGTTAGAACAAGGCTGGCTCATCTACCAAGAGCACGGCCGAAAATTGTGCGTCATCATAAGAACTGATGAGTTACGCGCCAAAACTCCTCCCCAGTGGGACTCAACCTAGTGCAGTTCGGCTTGGGGGGGGGGCACCAAATGGTACTCAAGCTTGTACAGAGCACCTTGTGGAAACCTGCAAATCCTGTGACCATAATGACTCATTTCTATCATTTTGCAGTTTCACAGGAGTTTACAGGTCTAACCAAAGTGAGAGTTGTTAGTTAACATGAACTAACAAAAGGAACAAACAAAGTGCAAAATGCTCCCTCCAAGCCCAACAGCGCCCTTACCCTAGGCTTTTTGGAAGTGTTACCACAACATCACTAAGCCTACACAGAGGGCACTGCGCGAAATTAATTATTGTAGCGACAGCCATGTTTCACACATAGATCGGCACTGATAGCAATCGGTCAGCTTTCGCATCGGCTTCTGGAGGTCGAATCACCGGTATATGCAACGAGAGAAATCGCTTCTGACCAATAAACGGCTCCACTATGCAAACGCCTGCAAAATGCACACTTAGATGCAGAAACTATAACGTTAGCAAGCATCTGGTATCATCGGACTTAAAAGCACTCTCTACGCCGATCGCGTGGGCGGAGACATTCAACAACTTTGCCTTTCTTATTAACGCGCATCTCCATCAGAGACAATGGGAGGAAACCGTCAGCGAGGAATATATAATGACAGTAATCAAGAGTTCATCGTCCCCGCCCATACGATTAGCGTGGAAATCTCCCCACACAATAACGTGGACCAACTAAAGGTAACAATGATGATTATATCTCCAATACTCACGAGCATTCACAAGTTCAGGAAAGAGTTGACGAATTTCATCAGGGAGACGGTCACCAAAGTAGAACTCATCCACGACATCATCTGGCACCGAAATAACCACGTTCAAGTAGCGCTCCTCGTTCACGGGAGCTCGCGCTGGCCCGTCAACGTTCCCCGCTTGCAGTTCTTCTGAAAGTTATCTTTCGTGATTTTATATCTCAAAAGAAAGAAGAACCTAGAGTCTCACCTAAGTCGTGACTCTGAGCGTTTTTAGCAACATCATCTACATGCTCTGTTTCAGAACTCGAAGGCGACATTGTGGACGAGTTGCCACTAGGAGTGACAGCATGCGATTCTGAAAGGCAACATTTGAAGACGGCAGGCGATGATTTGTATTGTCAGGCTTACTACAGGGAATTTCTCATTCCTTCCCTCCTGTTTCCCGTGGTAGAAAGGCGGAGGCACGACGAGGAAGGCACAACGGCAGGCCCGACTCTGCCCACAACATCAGCGTAGAGTTTGAACCTCATTCGGCCACGCAAGGACCCCCTTCCCCAGGATTCCTCGACCTACTCTCAGAATCCACTGACATCTCTACGTCAGATTTGCAGCCTCCACCCCTTGTAACTTCTCTGGCAACCGCTCTCGGCGATGACTTTTCGCCCCAGGCCTAACACTTTTTTCAAAGGTTCCCATGACCAACTTCCTTTCTATGCGAAATGCAATGGTGAGAAAAATGAAAAACTTCCAGAAGCGGTCACCTTTTTCTGTATCCAATGGAACGTCAGTTCTTCGAACAGGAACGTCTTCACAAATAAATTTCTGGTCTTCATCGGTATCGGGAGGCGGACTGTGAGGCTCGGGGGAAGAAACATTCACTTGACTGTCAGCCGGATTTCCTCTGAAACGTCACAATGTACCCGACTTTCCGATTTCGCAAAGTGACGCAGTTCGGCAAGGTGGGGTAACAAATCGTACCTAACAAAACTAGTTCAGGCCATCTTGTAAATCTTGTATCTCCTGTAACCAAAGTGCTTACTTATACCATGTTGCAGTCTCACAAAAGTTTACAGGTCTCACCAAAGTGTAACTTGTTAATTAACAAGTATGAACAAAAGGCCTAACGAAAGTGCAGAGCTCCCCCCCCCCCGAGCTAAACAGCGCCGATAACCGCTACTACGCCGGGTACTTTGCTCCATGCTAGAGGAAAGGCTGCGATTCTGCCGCAGTACTATTTGTGAAGAGTTGGCATGTACGGCTTGACTCAGCCACTCCCACAATCCCTTCCCCACCCTCCCCCCCATCCCTCCCCCTCCGGCTTCTTCGAAATCTCAGTTTACTACGCCGTTCACATAAATCGAAGACTGGCCCTCTCGAGGCATATAGTGCCTTATTCAGCTTGACAAAAAGGGATATTGGTGAAATACTCCGTTATTCAGTCCAATCAGCGAAACTTACTCACTTCTTTTTAATAGGAACCGATTTCTTGAGACGCTTCCAATGCTCTGTTGATACATGATCGATAGACGGCTCTTCTATACCACAGTATCCGCAGCTAAACAGTGATAATCGATAAGGTGGTCCATAGATACGCATGTAAGCTATCACGAAATCATTAAATAAGGACACGTCGTACGTCAAGCGATTCCCAGCGAGAGGGGTTCTATTTGGTCGCTGGAGGAAGGGGGTCGCATTCGCCACCAAGAAATGTTTTCAGGTGTTGACTTTTCTCCGTTTTTCCTATTTCAAGTGCGTTACCTCCTATCCCTCCCCTATCTCCCTCCCTATCGACGGCACTTCTTTGAGGAAAGACTGCAAAAATTCTTGGGAAGTTTGGAGTATTGCTAGGACGTTGGAAAATATAGGAAGATGGTAGGAGGATGGGGAATGGGTAACATACCAGAGAATTGGAAGGTAATTTTGAAGGGACGTGTTGTAGTTTGCAAAAAAATACCAACGGCAGGATGTGTCGGAAGAAGCAGGAAGATGCACGATCATGGACCTTCTGGACCTCCCTGAGATCTCTGTCCTCTACCCTTCCGTGGTTGGATGAAGGCTCATTCTACGCTGGCATTATGAGGCATTTGTGGTTCCCTCATTGGTGCACGCCTACGCTTCGCCATTTTCAGATGCGGTGCCCACCTATGGGAACAGTG